CCTGGGAAAGCAGTCGAGGACGGCCCAAAGCTTTGGGACCCTGCACCCACGTGGGAGACAGGAAAAGAAGTTGCTGGCTCCTGGCTTCGGGTCGGCACAGCACTGGCCGTTGTGGCCTCTTGGGGAGTGAATCGCTAGACAGAAGCTCTTGCTCTCTGTCTCTCCTCCTCTCTGTACATCTGCCTTTTCAATAAAATAAATAAATCTTAAAAAAAATAGTAATTGGGCCCGGCGCGGTGGCGCAAGTGGTTAAAGGTCCTCGCCTTGCACGCCCGGGATCCCATATGGGCGCCGGTTCTAATCCCGGCAGCCCCGCTTCCCTTCCAGCTCCCTGCCTGTGGCCTGGGAAAGCAGTCGAGGACAGCCCAAAGCTTTGGGAACCTGCACCCGCGTGGGAGACCCGCAAGAGGCTCCTGGCTTCGGATCGGCATAGTATCGGCCCGTTGTGCTCACTTGGGGAGTGAATCATCGGACGGAAGATCTTCCTCTCTGTCTCTCCTCTCTGTATATCTGCCTTTCCAATGAAAAAAAATAATAAAAATAAATCTTTAAAAAAAAAAAAAATAGTAATTGAGAGATATGAGTGGAAAGATGGATATTATCAATCTGTGGGCACCATAATAAGTAAAATGACTAAGGACTTTGCCATTTTGAGGGGAGGAGCCCCCAGAGGGCAGTAACTTCAGGTCTTTTTTGTTAAGCCAACTAATTTCTCTGGAGAGGAATCTCATTTGTGTCCAGCAGGTGAGATGCCGGGGTAGTGGCTTGAAGCACCCAATCTATTAGCTTGCATTGTGGATGCTGATCTAAGGAAAGGGACTGAAAGCCTGACATTTCCCTTCAGAGCATCCTCCATCATCTGGATGGTGGCACACATAGGACGAGCCTATATCCGCTACCCAAGGATTCAGTGTGTCTAGGATTCAGTTTCTCCAGAGATTAAGCCTGTATCCTAGAGAGGACATGAGAGCCATTCAGCTGCCTGGCTGCAAGAGCTGGAGGACAGAATCGCAAGGCTGAGCCAATCTCCAAATATTTCTGCCAGTCCCACTGTGGCACTAACCCAGTCTTCAAAGGCATGAGGCGCCTTCAGGCTCCTTATCTTGCAGAGTCTGGGAGTTGGTTTGTTTGCCTCCTCTTGGCTTGCCTACCCCGACAGTTAAATCTTGGCTTTCTTATGTTCTGCCAAGTCAGTTACTGCCCCTCAACTGCTTTTCAGTTTCCATAATTTAGTTGGCATCTATCATCTACTACAACTTCCACTCCCATCTTTTGCCCTATAGGTTTATGCCTTTTTTATTCCTTTACTGCTTTTTTTATGATGTTTTAAAAAGGAGTGGTGCACAAGGGTGCTAATAAATGTTTAATAAATGTGCATGCAAGTTTGTTGATATAGTGATAATAACAAATTATGATAAATGATAATAAAATATTCTGTTCTCTATACATTCCACAAAACCAGTTGAGTCTTCACAGAATGCTATGGTTGGGGTTTATACACTGTGGTTGTGATTTCCAAACCAAATGTAGTTCTGATATGAATGTGAATATTTTTGTTTTTCTGAAAAAAGACAAAGTGAAACATAAAAAAGTATGTTGGTAACATGAGGAACTTCTTTAGTGAATCTCAGAATAGTTTTTAAAGGCTGAAGTTATATTTTCTTAATTTCTGCAAGTCTAGGCATGGCATGACTGTAGACAAGACAGCCTATTTTTACAATTGACGAATTTGAAAAGCAGAGTTTACAGAGGAGGTGGGGAAGGGAAGAGAGAGAGAGAGTGAGTGATCTTGCTTCTGCTGGGTCATTCTCCAAAATGGCCACAGTGGCTAGAACAAAGCCAATCCATAGATAAGAGCCAGGAGCCTCTTCTGGTTCTCCCCACAGAAGTGAAGCGGCTTTCCCAGGGGCATTACCAGGAAACTTTTATCAGAACTAGGGTGGCCAGGCCTGGAACCAGTGCTCATATGGGATGCTGGCATTGCAGGCAGTGATGATACCACAATGCCAGCCCAAAACAGTTTTAAGTTAAAGATGTATTATTAGTATTTTCTTCATCACATCTTTAAGAGGTATCTTCTTTTCCTTCTCTCCCTCCTCCTCTTCCTTTTCCACTTCTCCTTCTTTTTCTTTTTAAATTGCTATGGCCAGGTGTTGTGGAGCAACTCAGTCACTGTCACTAAGGATCCTGCAGTTTAGGTCTCAGCAGCTCCACTTCTTCTAAGTACCTCTACCTACTAATGCATCCTGGGAGGCAATAGATGATGGCCCTAATAATTAGCCTACTGCCACCTGCTGACTTCAGACTGGTCCAGCCCTGGCTAATGCAGACATCCAGAGAGTGAACCAGATGGAGAAAAGTCTCTCTCCATAAGATCTGGAACTCTGCTAGGACTGGACCAGACTGAAACTTGGAACTGGAAACTGAATCCTGTACTCTTAGTGTGGATGGCTGGCAGGGGCCCAGGTTTTTGTTTTGTTTTGTTTTAATTAAAAAGGCAGATTACATTTACAGAGAGGGGAGACAGAGAGGAAGATCTTTTGTCTACTAGTTCACTCCCCACATGCCACAACAGCCAGAGCTGAGCTGATCCAAAGACAGGACAAGCTTCCGGGTCTCCCATGCAGAGCGCAGTTACTTTCAAGGGATCACCAATGGCATCCCAAGGTCTGCATTATCAGGAAACTGGCGTTAGGTGTCAAAGCTTGCTAGTGAATGCAGCTACTCCAGTATGGGATGAGGATGTCTTAACCAGTGTCCTAATCTCTAGGCCAAATGCCTTAATAGGAATAAGTACCACTGCAGTAGGGTTTTGCAGTGGGAAGACACAAAAAATGGGCTCAATACCTCTCCAGATCTTTATCTGTCTGGGTGCAGGTAAGTGAGTATTTATAGCCAAGGTGTAGAGTGGTGGATGAAAAGTCATACAGTTCAGGGGAATTCTGGCGAAACAAACCCAACAGGATTTGTTGCTGAAGACAGGCCAGAGTGATCAGACATCACCTGGGAGGTACTGGAGGATAGGTACTAAGGTTTGGAATAAACTTAATAGAGCTCTTGGCTAAAGCTGAATTTTTTTTTTTTAAGATTTATTTTTATTGGGAAATCAGATATACAGAGATGAGGAGAAACAGAGTAAGATCCTCTGTCTTATGATTCACTCCCCAAGTGACTGCAACAGCTGGAGCTGTGCCAAATTGAAGCCACAAGCCAGGAGCCTCTTCCAGGTCTCCCATGTGGGTACAGGGTCCCAAGGCTTTGGGTCATCCTTAACTACTTTCCCAGACCAGAAATACGGAGCTGGAAGGGAAGCAGAGCTGCTGGGGACCAGAACCGGTGCCCATATGAGATTTCAGTGCATGAAGGTGAGGACTTTAGCTGCGCCGGGCACAAGCTAAAGCTGAATTTTCTTAGAGTGCACAGATTCTCATGGAAAAGCTTCAGGAACCTGACTAAAATCTGGTCCAGTAGAGAATCTTTGCACAACGATTTCACCAGGTTTGATCAGTAGGCCCAGCTGCTGCTTGTTGTATTTTGAGAGGCAGAGAGGCCGAGAAGCTGTATTCCCCCCAGTGCCCGCCGAGCCAGGACTGGGGTTGACTGAAGCAGAAGCAGGGAGCAGAATCTGCAGCAGAGGAATCAGGATCCAGCCAGGCACTCAGATATGGGATGTGGGTGTCTCAGGGAAAAACTCAGACTCTGTTCTGGTCTGTTTCTGTAGTTTCAGCATGGGAAAATAAGGAAAATGGAAAAGAGAAGGCTGGCTCTCTGGGTCAGTTGGGTCCCTAACAAAACGACGTTAAATAGGAAAGAAGGGTCCAGCACGATAGCCTAGTGGCTGAAGTCCTTGCCTTGCACACAACAGGATCCCACATGGGCACCTGTTCTAATCCCAGCAGTCCCACTTTCTATCCAGCTGCCTGCTTGTGGCCTGGGAAAGCAGTGGAGGACAACCCAAAGCCCTGGGACCCAGCACCTGCATGGGAGACCTGGAAGAGGCTGCAGGCTCCTGGCTTCAGATCAGTTCGGCTCTGGCCAATGAGATCACGTGAGGAGTGAATTAGCAGACAGAGGGACTTCCTCTCTGTCTCTCCTCCTCTCTGTATATCTGCTCAATAAAAATAAATCTTTTAAAAAAAAAAGGAAAGAGAAAGAAAAAAGATAACCAGGGACAGATGGAAGACAAGGAAGGAAAGGTTGCCATGGAAATATTAGATTCTTGGGAACCCATTAATGGACTCTGTTTTTTTTTTTTTCTTAATTTATTTTTCTCCTATTTTTAATCCCTAGAAGGTTTTTGCGTGTTAATTTTTTTAAAAAGATTTATTTATTTATTTATTTATTTATTGGAAAGTCAGATATACAGAGAGGAGGAGAGACAGAGAGGAAGATCTTCCCTCTGATGATTCCCTCCCCAGGTGGCCGCAACGGTTGGTGCTGAGCCAATCCGAAGCCAGGAGCCTCTTCTGGGCTTCCCATGCAGGTGCAGGGTCCCAGAGCTTTGTGCCGTCCTGGACTGCTTTCCCAGGCCACAGGCAGGGAGCTGGAAGTGAAATGGAGCTGCCGGGATTAGAACCGCGCCCACATGGAATCCCGTCGGGTTCAAGGCGAGGACTTTAGCTGCTAGGCCCTTTTTGTGTGTTACTTTAAACATAATAATGAACCTATCCTTTAGACATTTCTTGTATCTAATAATCCTTTCCTTCATTGTTTCAGCAGGAACAAAAAGTAATATAATAAACATGAAGTCAGCTATTTGTTAGTGTGTCTGCCAGATCTCAAAACAACTCAGAAAAGCCCTCTGTTATCTCTCAGAAAAGCCCTCTGTTATCTTAGCATCAGACAAGGACTCTGACAAGATGCTATCTAGAAGCTTCACAGGTGGATGGGCTGTTGTTGCTGCAGGCACCTGCACCCTTTGCCAGCAGGGGTGCCGTTAGCAAGTCCAGGACTAATTCTTGGAACCCAACCACTTGATTTTTTTTTACAGCCTACAGCAAGGTGTGGGGAGGTTGCTGTGCCAGTGGGATCTGAGAGCTGAGCCAGTGCAGAGCTGCATACCAAGTGCGGGAAGGTCACAGAAGGAGCAGAAGTGGAATGAATGCGGATTTTAACGCCTGATTTGTTCCTATTCAAATGTAAGTTTGCAGGGAAAATAGGGCTAGGTCTTGAGACCATTTTCAATCCTGCTGCCAAAGAACAAATCTTTGTTTCTCTGGTAGCAACAGCAAAAATTAGCACTGTGCTCCTGGAGCCTCAGAGCAAACTAGCTCTGAATCCAGAGGCAGGCATAAATACACTAGAAAATGTAAGAGCTTTGGGGATGGGGCCGGCATGCACTTCAGTGGGCCACCTCCTGGACGCTAGCATCTGGAGTCCCTGCTGCCCCTCTAGGGATCCTGTTCCTGCTAATGCACACCCTGGGGGGCAGCAGGAGGTAGCTCAAATCTGTGGGTCTCTGCCAAGTCTGCGGGAGGCCCAAATGGGGTTTCAGGCCCCTGACTGGGGCAGCCCATCCCTAAGTATTGAAGGCATGTGGGGAGTAAAGCAGCAAATGGGAGATGTCTATTTGTCTCTTTCTCTCTGACTCCCTTTTAAATATATACAAATTCTAAATGCTTAAAAACAAATGTTTTTTAACTGACAGCTTAAGATTGGGATGATGGTTATTTTACTATATATTATCTATTCTGTTGCACCAGAGTATAGCAGATACAATGCCATCTTTGAAGACATAAAGAGCTGGACTTTCCGTTTTATGCACTGTATTGGACAGGTCAGATAATCTCTCTAACCCTCAGTTTAATGTTGTCTAAAAATGGATGTAAGAGGGCCCGGCATGATGGCATAGTGGTTAAGGTTCTTGCCTTGAATGCTCGGGATCCCTTATAGGTGCCAGTTCTAATCCCCACGGCCCCACTTCCCAAGACTTTGGGACCCTGCACCCACGTGGGAGACCTGGTGGAGGTTCCTGGCTTCAGATTGGCTCAGCTCCAGCCGTTATGCTCACTTGGGGAGTGAAGCAGTCTTCCTCTCTGTCTCTCCTCCTCTCTGTATATCCGCCTTTCCAATAAATAAATAAGTCATTAAAATGGATATAAGAATCCTCCTTGTTTGGTAACTTACAGGGTGGTAGGGAATATTGGAAAACAAATGTAAGAGAAGCTGCCTAACAGTACAGGGGCTTTCAAAAAGTGGTGGATGCTTCGTCCTTACAATTCCTACCAATCCCAGCTGTTGTGAAGGATGCTCAGGAACTGCTACTGGTAAAGAAATGCACCTTCTGCAGCTGGTGTTGTGTGGCACGTTAACCTTGAAATGCCTGTATCCCCTGTAGATGCTGATTTGGGTACTGACTACTCCACTTCCTATTAAGCTCTCTGCTAGGGGCTTAGGAAAAGCAACAGAAGATGGCCCATGAGTCTGGGTCCCTGCACTCATGTAAAGACCTGAACAAAGTTCCTGCCTCCTGGCTCCTGTCCAGCCCAGCTTGGGTAGTTACTGCCATTTGAAGCGGATGGAAAATATCTCTCTCTCTCTCCCTCTCTATGTAATTCTGCCTTCCAAAATAAACACATATTTTTAAAAAGAAAAAATTGACATGCATACATCCTTTTAATAATAACCCAGTTATAGTGTAGTCGATTTTTTTAATTGTAAAAATATTTTAATTGGCGGCACAAAGTAATTGTAAATAATTATAGAACATCTGGCATTTCAACACATGTACACATGTGAATAGTCATTTTCTATCTTAAACAAAGGAAAATTTGACCTAATGAAGAAAAGCATAACAAGCAAAACGAACTTGGGCAAAGCCAAACTCTTTCCAGAGATAGTTTAAATCAGGGTTTGATTTCTCTCCTTTTCAAGCAACCTCTAAGGTGGTGGTTACAAAAATGTGTTCACTCTAAGATAATTCACTTATATACATACTTCAGATTTGTACATTTCTATGTCTGCATTATTCTTTAAAAAATTTTTTTTTGATGCTTACATCGTTGAGAAGGATGTATACCCATGTGGATCACTGATTAGGATGGGAGGGCAGAGGCCTGGGAGAAAGTAGGTAGACAATTGCTTCCAAAAATTTTTTAAAGAACTATTTATTTTATTGGGCAGTCAGATTTACAGAGAGAAGGACAGAGAAAGATCCGCAAAAGCTGGAGCTGAGCTGATCCAAAGCCAGGAGCCTCCTCCGGGTCTCCCACAGGGGTGCAGGGTCCCAAGGCTTTGGGCTGTCCTGGGCTGGTTTTCCAGGCCACCAGCAGGGAGCTAGATGGGAAGTGGAGCTACTGGGATTAGAACCACTGCCATATAGGATCCTGGTATGTTCAAGGCGAAGACTTTAGCCATTAGGCAATGCTGCGGGGCCCGAGTTTGTATTATTCTTAAGTAAAAAAAAAAAATTTTCAGCAGACATCATGCCCAGGCTCAAACAACGGAGAAAACTGAAAACCAAGAAATCCTTCAAAAAAAAAGAAGTTTCTCTCTTCCAATCCAAGTTGCCTCCTTCTCCACTGCCCTCCCCTGCAAGGTAAGGCATCCTATGTCACAAGGTAAGGCATCCTATGTCACAGGGAAAATACCAGATCTGATCTGTTTAGGATAGAAATACCAGATTTAGCAAATTGAAATATAGAGGTCTCAACTAAATTTGAATTTCAGAGGAAGGATGAATAATTTTTTGTATTAATGTGTTATGCAACATTTGGAATCTATTAAAACTATTCTTTTGCTAGACATCCTGCATTTTATGTAGCAATCATAGTTTCCAAGTCAAATGAAGTGAAAATCCCAAGACCTTGAATTTACATGCACAAACAACCATTTTCTACTTTCCCAGTGAACTTAACTCTAGAAATTAATTTTACAAAGGAAATGTGACTAGGATTTAAATTTTAGTTTTGATAAAATTTGAACAGGTACTCTCTGACTCACAGCTTAAATGTGCTATTGAAAGGGACTCCTGAGTTCTAGAAATGCTGGAGTGCTGGTTTTTACAATAACTGCTACTTTATGTACGTTTTTTGTTGTTATACTTTCTTTCACAAAATACTTTCTGGGGTAGGCAATGATGTGGAAGGTTATGATGCCACTTAGGATGCTGGCATCCCATATCAGAGCACCAGTTCAGGCCCTGCCTACTCCACTTCCCACATAGCTCCCTGCTAGTGTGCCTGGGAAGCAGCATAGGATGGACTGAGTGCTTGGATCCCTGCCGCCCACGTGGGAGATCTGGATTGTAGTTCTGGCCTTTTTCTTTTTTTTTTTTTTAAGATTTATTTATTTTCATTGGAAGGACAGATTTTCAGAAAGAAGGAGAGACAGAGAAAGATCTTCCATCCACTGATTCACTCCCTAAAATGGCTGCAACAGCCAGAGCTGAGCCAATCTGAAGCCAGGAGTTTCTTCTGGGTCTCCCATGTGGGTGCAGGGTCCCAAAGCTTTGTGTCATCCTTCAGTGCTCTCCCTGGCCATTAACAGGAAGTTAGATCAGAAGTGGGGCAGCCAGTACATGAACTGGTGCCCCTATGGGATGCTGGCAGTTATAGGTGGGAGATTAGTCAGTTAAGCCATTGCACCAGCCTCAGTCCCTGTCTTCTTTTTTTTTTTTTTTTAAAGATTTATTTATTTTTTATTGTAAAGTCAGATATACAGAGAGAAGGAGAGACGGAGAGAAATCTTCTGTCCAATGATTCACTGCCCAAGTGAGTGCAACGGCCAGTGCTATGCCGATCCGAAGCCAGGATCCAGGAGCTCTTCTGGGTCTCCCATGCAGGTGCAGGGTCCCAAGGCTTTGGGCCGTCCTCAACTGCTTTCCCAGGCCACAAGCAGGGAGCTGGATGGGAAGTGGGGTCACTAGGATTAGAACTGGTGACTATATGGGATCCTGGTGTGTCCAAGGCGAGGACACCAGCTACTAGGTCACTGTGCCGGTCCCTAGTTCCTGGCTTCTTATTTCCAAGTTTTGGCCTGGTCCAGCCTTGGATATTGCAGGCATCTTGGGAGAAACCTAGAAATTGGATGTTTCTCTCTCATCTTCACTAGAACACTTTTTGTATCTTGTAGAATGAGTGTTGCCCAATTACAGAATGGAAAATAAGCCCAATTAAAATCATTAAACACAGTTTTAGTGATTTTGTCTATGGATGCAATCCATTCACTTTGTTTACTTTTATCTATTTACATTTACATTATTTACATTTTATTTATGTTTGTATGTGTGTATGTGTTTCTTCCTTCATAAAACTAATAGGATATGGGGTGGGGGGAATCCCCAGTGCCTATAAAACTGTATCACATAATACAATGTTAATAACAATAAAAAAAAAACTAATAGGATATAATTTAAGTTATCCCAGAAGGTAGTTTTTGTTTTTATTATTAAGATTAATTTGTTTATTTAAAAGGTAGAAAGTATTAGAGACAGAGAGAGAGAGAGATTTTCCATTCACTAGTTTACTCCTTAGGTGGCTGCAAGGAGCCAGGACCTTCATCTGGGTCGTGGGTGCCCAGAAGCATTACCAGGGAGCTAGATTGGAAGTGAACAGCCAGGACACTAACTCACACCCACATGGGATGCTGACATTGCACCAGGCAATAAGGCAGGGTTTTTAACTGGTTTTCTTTTGTTGTTGTTGTTGTTGTTTCTAAATCCCTCATGCCTGCAATATGGTAGGAACTTTTTAAAAGTTTTATTTATGGGCCCGGTACAATAGTCTAGCAGCTAAAGTCCTCACTTTGCATGCACCGGGATCCCATGTGGGTGCTGGTTCTAATCCTGGCAGCTCCACTTCCCATCTAGCTCCCTGCTTGTGGCCTGGGAAAGCAGTCGAGGACAGCCCAAACCTTTGAGACCCTGCACCCATGTGGAAGAGCTGGAAGAGGCTCCAGGCTCCTGGCTTCGGATCAGCTCAGCTTCAGCCATTGTGGCCACTTGGGGAGTGAGTCAATGGATGGAAGATCTTCCTCTCTGTATATCTGACTTTCCAATTAAAATAATTATTTTAAAAAGGTTAATCTATTCATTTATTTGAAAGACAGAGAGGTAGAAAGGGAGAAACAGAAAAAGTAATTTTCTGTCCTCTGATTCACTCCCCAAATGCCTGCAAAAGCAAGGAGATAGGAACTCCATATGACTCTGAGCTGAATAGCAGAAACCCAAGTACTTGGGCCATCCTCCCACATGCATTAGAAAGAAACTCAGGGCTGACACCGTGTCATCATGGGTAAAGCTGCTGCCTGCAGCACTGGTATCCCATATGGGCGCCACTTTGAGTCCCAGCTGTCCCGCTTCGGCCCAGCTCCAGCCACTTGGAGACTAAAGCAGTGGATGGAAGAAATCTCTGTGTATTTCACCCTCTTTTTCTCTCCAACTCTAACTTTCAAATAAGTAAATAAATATTTCTAAAAAAAGAAGAAGGAGGAGGAGCTAGAGGGAAAAGGGAAGGAAAGAAGAGCAAGAAGTGTGGAGTAGCTGGAACTGTGTGGGTGCCTCATACCCTGGCTTAACCCTCTGTGACACAGCAGCCATGTTATCATAGGTACTCGGTATCTGTTCTGTAATTGAAAGCTTGAATTCTTGCATCTAATGAAGGGCTTAGGGATCCTCTTCTACAGAGTCAAACTATGAACTCAGCCTCTTGCTTAATGAGAACTGTTAGTCTGACTTAGGCTTTTTTTTTTAAAAATTTATTTTGTTTAATTTTGCTTTTCCTACAGAACGGTTATTTCTTCAACAGATATCCCCCATAGCAGAAACTGGCTAACATCCTCGTGGAACTTCAAATTTCCCAAAGATGTAATAAAACTTTGGACAAATAGAGTGTGGTCACTATACAGCTGGTGCCAGAACTGCGTAGCCCCGGTATGGGTTTTCACATGGCTGTTCTCAGCTGTGTGGCTTTTCTATGCATTTGATGTTTGATGTTTGTGTCTGTCCGTTCATACATTCAAATCAGATCAACACTCTAGCTAAGTGCCGATAAGATGAATTGAAGGGTTCATGTCTATCTTTGCTTGCATAAGACATACCTTAAGCCACTTTCTGGTTCCTTGTTTTTTTTTTCTTGTGTCTGTCATACTGTTCATATTTATTTGTGAATTTCAGAGTTTAGAAATATTGAAAGATACCATCTTTCCATCCCGAATCTGTCACCGAGAACTTCATAGTCTGAAACAGCAGTTTTGCGCTTTGGAAAATGAATTGTGCAAACTTCAGGAAGTGCTGAAGGTTAGTATAGTCACACACAAAACAATGCAGAATCAGGTAAGACTGTTGCAATAGAGAAAATGCTCTGGTTCTAAGACCTGTGCACTCCTTCAACATCAGGTACATGAGATTCTCTGTCTTTGTTAGGAGTAACCAAGTGGCTGTGGGGTGGAGGGCGGAAGTGAGATGAACACGTGTGATGACCCAAGGGGACAGTTGACCTCGGTTTTTCTTTGATGTAGGCCAGTTTTGTCCAGATTGGTCAGTGGTATCAAACAGTTCAGTTAGTCCTATGTTAGTCAAAAAGGAAAAAACAAAAGAAATTTGAAGGGCCCACTTCTGACCTTGTCATGGATAAAACAGGGACACAGCAAGTGATATGCCCAACGGTAGTCTCAGGAGAAACCTGAAACTTCCAAAGATGGGGAAGCATTTTCTTTTCTTTTTATTTTTAAGATATACTTATTTTGATTAGAAAGTCAGATTTACAGAGAGAAGGAGAGAAAGAGATAAAGATATTCCATCCACTGGTTCACTCCCCAAGTGGCCCCAGCCCCAGTGGCCACTTGGAGCTGAGCCGATCTGAAGCCAAAAGCCTGGAGCCTCTTCCAGGTCCCCCATACAGGTGCAGGGTCCCAAAGCTTTGCGCCGTCCTCGACTGCTTTCCCAGGCCACAAGCAGGGAGCTGGATGGGAAATGGGACCTCCGGGATTAGAACCTGCACCAATATGGGATCCTGGTGCGTGCAAGGTGAGGACTTTAAGTGCTAGGTTACTATGCCAATCCTGAAAGACAATAATTTTTAAAAAGACCAACATGGTAAATAACATGTGTTCATAAACACATGTAAAAGATGCAACTTGGTCATAAATGCATGACCAAGGCCACCAAAATTTGGTTAAATAAAATGGAAGGTTTTTCTCTCCCACATGAATATCTGGGAAGAAAGCATTCTAGAACTGTCATAAGGATTTCATAGATCCAAGATAGTTGTTGAGCTCAGATCATGGATTGATTATACGCAGTAGAAAGAAGGGATCAAAATGCTCCCACTCCCTTTAAAAGGATTTCCCTGTAGTCACACATAAGACTTATATCTCATTTGGCCAAAACATAGCTGTAGAATAACACATAGTCACGAGGAAAGTTGGGGAGTATAGTTCTTCATCTGAATTACAACATGTCAAACTAAAACTCAGGTTACCTATTACTAACAAGGACAACAATAATGCATATTGGTAGACATATATGGTAATCTATCACGTATACAAAACATATATTGGAAGACAACCACACGCATAAAACAAATTCAAGATAAACTTCTATGGGTGGGGTTGGTGTTGTGGCAGTGAGTTAACTCCCTGCTTGTAAGATGTTCCTCGAATCCCAGCTGCTCCCAGCTGCTCGGCTTCCAGTCCAACTTCCTGCTGTCTGCCTAGGAAGGCAGTGATGATTGCCTAAGTTCTTGGGCCCCTGCTCACCACAGGGATGATCAGGACGGAATTGCTGGTTCCTGGTTTCAGCCTGGGCAAGACCAAGTTGTTGTAGCCATTCTGGAAGTGAACCAGTGGAAGGATGATATTCATTCTCTCTCTCGCCCCTTGATATTTCTCTTTCTAATTAATTAATTAATTAATTAATTTTTAAAAAGCAGTCACTAACATTTTAGGTTATCAGACTGATGAACAAAAACAAAAAAACAGTGCAAGTATAATGTCTCACCGGATAATCCTCCACTTCTAAGCACCAGCATCCCATATAGGGATTGCTATCTGGTTGCTCTGCTTCCCAACCAGCTCCCTGCTGGTGGCCTGGGAGAGCAATCAAGGACCCTGCACCTGCATGGGAGACTAAGAAGAAGCTCTTAGCTCCTGGCTTCAAATTGGCTTAACTCTCACCATTGTGGCCATTTAAGGAGTGAATCAGTTGCTGGAAGATCTCTTTCTCTCTCTGTCTCTGTAAATCTGCCTCTCCAATGAAAACAAATAAATCTTAAAAGGAAAAAGAAAGCAAGTAAACAAGACTCAGAGGGTGTTTTCAGCATAAAACAAAACAGAACAAAAAACCAAAACAGTTTGGAGAAATTAATACTCTCTTAAATTGTTGTGAAGAGAATAAATTAATAAAAATCTCTCAGTCATGATTAGGCAATATCTGTCAAAATCTTTTTTTTTTTAAAGATTTATTTTTTTTTTATTGCAAAGTCAGATATACAGAGAGGAGGTGAGACAGAGAGGAAGATCTTCCCTTCGATGATTCACTCCCCAAGTGAGCACAACAGCTGGTACTGCGCCAATCCGAAGCTGGGAACCAGGAACCTCTTCCAGGTCTCCCACATGGGTGCAGAGTCCCAAAGCTTTGGGCCATCCTTGATTGCTTTCCCAGGCCACAAGCAGGGAGCTGGATGGGAAGTGGAGCTGCCGAGATTAGAACCAGCGCCCATATGGGATCCTGGTGCGTTCAAGGCGAGGACTTTAGCTGCTAGGCCACATCGCCGGGCCCTATCTGTCAAACTCTTAATATTTAAATTCATTGGGCTTTAAGAAGGATAGATGAGAAAACAGAAAATCATTCATCTCTATGCACAGGAAATTGCTCATACTGTTTCCCTTGGTGATAGATCTGAGACTGGGGTAAGAAGAGACTTGCTTAATCACAGTATATCATTTTGTATCTTCTGGATTGTGTGCACTGTGCCTTAACAAATATAAAAATAACAAGAGCAAGCATTTGACGTATCAATGAAGATGATGATTAAGACTTCCACATCTCACATCACAGCATGTGACTCCAGCTTCCTGCTAATGTGGACCATGGGAGGCAGTAATGATGGCTTAATAAGGAGCTGCATCCCTGCCACCCCTGGAAAGATGGAAGACCTGGTTGACCCCGCCCAGTCTTAATTTGTGCAGGCACTTCATTGAACCAGAGGATGAATCAGTCTCTTTCTCTCCTACTGAAATAAATACATTTAAAAGAAAATAACAATGAAATTAATTCCTAAAACAGAAAATTAACTGTCCAGTTGAGATTTTAGTGGTAGAAATAAACTCATTGTTATTTTGAATCTGTATTGGTGTAGCTTTCTTTCAGCATTTTGCTGCTTGTGACTTTGCAGTGGTTCAACTAGACTTTAACATATTTAAAAGTATAGAATCACTACACATTTGTGCGTATAATCAATTTGTAAACCTTCCCTTTGCTTCCTCATCTCTGACATACAAACTCTTGCTGGTTTTTTGTTTTTTGAAGATTTAAAAAATTTATTTGAAAGGCAGACTTACCAAGAAACAAATAGAGACAGAGAGTGAGTAAAACAGAGTGATTGTCCGTGTGCTTATTCACTTCCCAGATCGCCACAAGAGCCAGGGCTCAGCCACACCAAAGCCAGGATCCCAGAACTCCTTCCAGGTTTCCTGTAGGAGGACACTGTGACCCTAGAAGGGCAGCAAGCACAGGATTACAGTTGATTGGTTAATATTTGCATGAGAACAACTTAATGGCTACCTTCTGTATACCTGATCGGATATCATTTGTGTAAGAACAGTTGAATGGATATATGTGTGTGAGAACACTTGGTGGAATATACAAGACAAAAGGAGTTCCAAACAAAAGCATAGAATCTGTTACTGGGTTTTGTTGATGAGCTCAATGCTTCCTGCCTTATCCCATATGACCTTCAGTGCATAAAGTCTGAGGCCACTAGTAAACTTCGGCTTTGACCATCAGTCAGGGGCCACACATGTTATTATCGGCTCTGTGCACCAAGTCCTTTCCTGCGGGACAGTGAAGTTTCCATATAAGCAGCAGGTCTCCAAGAACTTGGGCCATCCTCTGCTGTTTTCTAAGGCCTTAACAAGGAGCTGTGCCAAATGTGGAGCACCCAGGACTTAATCTAGCATCCATAATGGATGCCAACATTGCAGGCAGTGGGCTAACCCACTGTGCCACATGCCAGCCCACAAACTGTATCTTTCATGAATTTTCTATTACTTCAGTGTTTTTTAAAAATTTTACCCCAAATCATGCTTCCAAATGTGTTGAAAAGAATGATAAGACTAAAGAATGAAACTTATTTTATTCCCTAAAAACATTCTTGGAAGGCTGTATCATTTAATTTTTTTTTTGAAGATTTATGTATTTTTGTTGGAAAGTCAGATTTACAGAGAGGAAGAAAGACGGGAGAGGATCTTTGGTCCACTGATTCACTCCCAAAGTGGCCGCAACAGCTGGAGCTGAGTCAGATCAAAACCAGGGGATTCTTCCAGGTCTCCCACGTGGCTACAGGGTCCCATGGCTTTGGGCTGTCCTCTACTGCTTTCCACAAGCAGAGAGCTGGACTGGCATCCATATGGGATCCCAGTGTGCTCAAGCAAGGACTTTAGCCACTAGATTACTGTGCTAGGCTCTCAATCAATTGTTTCTCTACACAAGTGACAGAGCACAATGGAACTGATTGGTGTATGCCTATTTAACCAGTAAGTCTGGAGATCCAAAGGTGCAAATGACATTGTCAGGTCCTGGCTCTGCCTTCTTGTTTTGGTCCTTTCTTCATTTGTGTCAGCTCTGTCCTTCTGGTAGCCATGTGGTTGCTGGCAGTCTTGGATTATTATTCTCATAGTGGAAAAGCCTCAGCAAGGAGCAATTTGTCCTGGATTTTGTGCCTAGCCCTTCACTAAGGGTCCCAAGCCAACATATGGGCTAAGGGAGAACAGAGATGTTCTCCATACGTGGCCTCTGCATTTCCCAAGTGCCAAGTCACCTAGCTCCTGGTTATGCACGGCTACTGAGAGGCTCTGCTTACAGACTCTGTGTTCTTTCTGTTGGGTAATTTCTCCAACAGTAGTTATAGTTGCCTTACTAATCCCCGTGCCTGCTTAAATACAAGGCTACATGTAAGATCTAGACATACTTTTTGCATATTTATTCCTAAAATTGCTCCTCTGCTAAGTCTCAGCTCATCCCGGAAGTCAAGGCTAAATATCTCAAAACCTCTAACTGTTCATGTTCGTGGCACATTTCGTCACTCTTATGGAGATGTGTTTTTCTTTTGAGTATATTTAGGCCTGTCTAACGTCTCACCAGAATGAGCTCCCTGATGTAACAATGGACAGGGCTTGAAAATACGCTCTGCACCTGGCACATAAACTCACACACAAAAAATGCATATGTATAAAGAAGGTGGTTTCACAAATTAGTGGGAAATGAAATAAAAAGATGATTGGAATTTACCATAAACATTTTGAAGTTCCCGTGCATAGCAATGATTGAATAAAATGTAGAAAGTTGTGATCACTACATGAGGAAATATGATGAAACATGCGGTATACTGAGGAAGCAGTCAATATGGGGGGGGGGCGGAGGATCTAATGTTGATAACACTCAATCCAAAGATTCACATGAACCTGTTATTCATTTGTGCAATGTATTGTTTTCTTCCAGACCATCTCAGGAAATTGTTCATGTTCAAGCTGTAGTCAAATGTGTCACACGCACAGTAAACTCATAAAAGCACCTGCGCCTGCTCCACCCACCCCAGGAGAATGCCAAGCTCTGCTTTCTACGACACTCCCACAGCCAGCCAGTCTTCTTCCACCGCCACCACCACCTCCCCCTCCACCCCTGCCCCCTCCCCCTCCTCCCCTCCCACCCCCTTCAGCACCCCTTGCACCTTTGGTGTTCAGAAAATCTGATCGCACTAAAGCACCTCAGGTAGGAAACATTCTAGTATTGGTGTGTTTTGTTTGCTCAGTGGGTACTTACATAGGAATCAAGCCAATTAGTCTTTCAGGGATGGGTCAAGGACTTGACCGGGAAGCATGCATTGTGTTCTGATGCCATAGCTTAATTGTGTTAAAACGTCAGTACCGAAATAATGAAAATGATTCCCCTCCCCTGCATCACTCTGCCTTTCAAACCATTAAAATAAATATAGAAGCAAATATGTAAATATATGAAAAAATAAATTTTAAAGGTGGGAGGCATTAGGTGTTCAGTAAGGCGCAGGTTCACATCCCAACTGAAGCTTCCAACTAATACACAGTTTGGTAGGCAGCAGAGGATGGCTCAGGTATTTGGCTCCCTGCTGCCCATGTTGGAAATCCATAGTGAGTTCCAGGTTCCTGGCTTTGCTTGGCCTAGCCATGGCTGTTGCTGGCACTTAGGGATGAAACCAGCAGAAGGAAGAGCTCTGTGTTTCCTGTCTCTCTGTTTCTCTTTCTCTGCTTTTTAAGTAATTTTTTTTTTTTTAATTGGAGAAGCAGATTTACAGAAAGAAAGAGACAGAGAGAAAGATGTTCCATCTGCTGGTTCATTCCCTAAGTGGCCACAACAGCCAGAGCTTGAACTGATTCCAAGCCAAGAGCCCAGAACCTCTTCTAGGTCTCCCACATGGGTGCAGGGTCCCAAGGCTTTGGGCCGTCCTCAACTGCTTTTCCAGGCCACAGGCAGGGAGCTGGATGGGAAGCAGGTCAGCCAGGATTAGAATCAGTGATCATATGGGATCCTGGAGCATTCAAGGCAAGGACTTTTAACCACTATGCTATCAGCACTGGACCCCTGACATTTTTTTTAAAGCCTTACAGTCTGATGAGTATTTTTTAGTGGACTTTATATCCATGGGTACTGAAACAAGAACATTCTTGATTTTGTTAAATTTCTAGCATAAATTAGAGTTAAAGCTTAACTCTGAGTCTTTAAAAACTAAATTTATATTAAATTTTAGCACCACAATTTTAATTCTCACCTCTCCATGCATTTTAAGGCTGGGCCATTGAAAAAAGATAGACCCATGCAGATCACAGTTAAAGATCTACTCAATGTGAAATTAAAGAAGACACCAAGCGTCAGTGAAAGGACAAAGGTAAGTTGTCATTGACTAAATATGTATTCTTTGTGCTTTGAATTTGATTCCAATCTGTGTTCTTTTTCATTTGAATTTCCTTTATGGAAAGTAAGCCAGCATTGTGGCATAGTGAGTTAAACCACTGCTTGCATAGCAGCATCCTACATCACAATGCTAGTTTGCGTCCTGGCTGCTCTGCCTTTGATAGTTTCTTGCTAACATACTTGGGAAGACAGTGATGGTGACCCAAGTACTTAGACGACTGCCATCCATGTGGGAGACTAAGATGGAGTTCCTGGCTTCTGGCTTCAACCTGGCCCACGCTTGGCTGTTGTGGCCATATGGGGAGTGAAGCAGTAAATGGGGATTCTCTTTCTGTCCCCTTCTCTCTGTCAACTCAGAATTTCAAATTAAAAAATACATGTTTTTTTTTTTTAAAGGATTTATTTATTTTTATTGGAAAGGCAAATTTATAGAAAAAGGGGAGACAGAGAGAAAGATTGTCCATCCACTGGTTCACTCCCCAAGTGATCGCAAAGGCTGGAGCTGAGCTGATCTGAAGCCAAAAGCCAGGATCCTGCTTCAGGTTTCCCATGTGGGTGCAGGGTCCCAAGCATTTGGATTGGGACATGAACTGGCGCCCATATGGGATCCCGGCACTTGCAAGGGGAAGATTAGCCAATTGAGGCATCACACCAGGCCCAAAGAAATACATCTTTAAGGAAAAACAAAACAAAAAATAACAAAACAAACAAACAAAACAAGCTTAGACCTATGTGTAGAAGTCATACCAAATTCAGCATTGATATTTGATTTTAGTAAAACTTTTTATCTCCTCAATTAAAATAGGCATATCCCAGAATTATTCAATTAGTGTTTTCTACCAACCGTTAGTCTGAAGAGGTATACTCTGAAACTCTGGAATAAAAATTGACTAAAGAAGAGGATCTATCTTATGCTTGTTTGGCATTAGTTTCTTTTACTGTTTCAACATGTTCATATTTTAAGCTTGTATTTTAAAATGTGTTTTTAATCATCTCTCATTTATGATTAAAGCTTGAACCATCACCACAGTCACAGAACCCGCTAGTTACTGTCTCAGACCTGCAGCGCGTTACCCTGAAACCTAACTCCAAAGTGTTATCGACTCGAGTTACTAATGTCCTAATGTAAGCAATTACATGCTGATGTTTGATTGTTCCTTACATAATGTTTTGACTCACTCTAACTTTAAAAATCCTTGTTGAAAAAGTAAAATTGAAACCTACAGAAAATCTTAAAAAGAAAAAAATGAAAACCATCTCTCTCATCCTACCAGTGGAGATAGCCACTATTGCATTCTACACTTTTTCTGGCATATACACTTATGTCTCCATTTCAAGAGGGCAATTTAACGTTATAATAAAGACATAATGTATTTGGGAAGAAAAAGAAATGCTTTCAAGAATTTTTTAACTGGCCTGATTTCAAAAATAAAATGTGAAAATGAGTATGTCTTGGATCCCAGGAAATAGGGATGTTTGTGTGAGTGCAACAGTCTACTATAGGCACAGTTATAGTTTTTTCCACTTAGTATGTTATGATTTCCTCCCATATTAAAAATTAGCTTAAAGCATTGCTTTACCTCTTTAATATGTGCAGTTAAGTATATGAAAATTTAATAAATGATATACTTTGTCTTGAGAAACTTTTTTTCTGGGATAGATTCTTATGCATGTTATTTTTGAGTCAAGAAGTATCACTCATGAGAACGGTTCTATCATCTTATGCTCCCATTGGCACTTACTTTCAGGAAGTTATCAATAAAAATGACTGCTTTGCTTGAGGAATAAACTGATTAAAATGATAAATTCTAATTTTGATATCATTATTTTATCAGAACTCCTAGTAAGAGCCAACTGGATCTGCGGAAACTGCTTAGAAAAGTCAATGTAGACAGGTAACATACACCCTTGTGTTATGTTTTCTAAGTCCACTTGAAAGGTTGGCATGAAACACAACCTTTATGTTTGCATCACCTTTGCAGGAGCCCAGGTGGAACCCCTCTTACCAATAAAGAAAACATGGATACAGGAACTGGACTGACTCCAGTAATGACCCGGGCCTTGAGGAAAAAGTTTCAGGTAAACATTTTTAGGGGGAAAAAAATGGAAAATCATTTCTTTAGACTCATAATGTAAGCCACCCTTCTTAATGTTTAAATAATTCCTTATTTTTTATAAAGCACTCTCATATTCATGCTTCATAAGATTCCATCAAATATAGTTATGATTATCATCTTTGCACCCTATCCACAAAAATCTAATTTATTAATTTCTTTAGTATTTAGTAAGTTCTTCCTATGTACCAGGCATTGAGGTGGAGTGCTAGGAATATGCGTAATAGCAAGCAAAAGCAGACATATTTCTACTGTCTTGGAACTTTCATTCTAGTGGACAAAGTAAATACTAATCAGATAATCCCATATTTGCATGGTTTTATACTGCTATAAGTGGTGTGAAGGAAACGAAGTAAGTTCTGTGGAATCTTGGAGGAAAACAATCTAGTCTGGATGACTCAGAAAGATTCCCTTAAGAAGTAAATGATGCCCAAGATGAGAGTTGAAGGATGAAAGGATGAATAGATGTAATTATGAGCCCACCAAAAATGTCAGGGACTCCCGACAAGACTAATTCATGCAAGAGACCTGTGGTAGGAGACTCTTGGTTTATCCAAAGGAATGTTAAGTCACCTATGTGGCTGTAACATAGAGAGCCTGACAGTGGTGACAAATGGAGATAGAAATGTCGATGGAGTGAGCCCAAGCAGGCTTGATAGGAAAATATTTTGGCAGTTTTGTTCTTTGTCTTCTCCATGTATAACTCACACACCGAAATCCAGTAGATGCCTGGCTCAGGTGTGTTTCTTCCAAACATGTTTGCCTTCGTCATCTATTTGATCACCCCAACCATCAGATCTGTGAAGAGTAGCCATTTTCCTCCACCCTGCTGGAGTGTTGGGGCACAGAGCTTGTGACCTCTTTGGCTTCAAACTCTGTTCCTTCTTCCTCTGGCAGCAGAAACATACCATGAACTGACACTTTCCCATCCTTTTATTTGTTCCTAAAGAACCAGTACCTTTTGAGGGACAGCTTGGTTTCCCTCTTGCCAATCAATGTGGTCCTTCTGGGCACTTGTCTGGCTCTCTTTGGAAGCACCTGTAGGAGTTTGCCTCCAATCACATTCCTTAATTGCCGAAGTCCAGCTCCAGCTGAGTTTGGAGCTCGGGAAGGGTGCGTGGAGTCGGCGATAAAGAAAGACACAGACACAGACACTTGGTGTGTTCTCACTGCCTCTCTGCTCAAGAAGAAGCTGTCCTTTTTATTTACTTAGACACATCACAAGTCTCTGCACAAACATTTGATTTTTTTATCTTTAACTTTAGAACTAAGACAGCATGCACAGATGTTCAATTAATTTTTACTTCATGGTCAACCAGGTGCTCTCAAAGATAATTCTGTAAATTACTATAATCAGATTACAGAATTCTTAGTGGGGTACTTGAGTGTCCATGCAAACAGGGGGGTAAGACTGCGTCAAGGTGGTCAGAGAGAAATCTGCCGGGCCCTGCCAAACAGCTGGAAGCTCCCCAGGCCCTGCCAAGCAGGGAGCTGTTCTCTTCACACCCTCGTGTCATCCACACCTACTGCACGGACACCAGCACTTAGTGATATCAAAACTGTGAAGAGCAGGGGCAAAGGAAACAAGTTGTCACTAAAGGGATTTAGCTCCTTCCTTTCTCTGTACTGTTCTGAGGTGTGTGTTATCCCTGCCCTACCCTATAATTAGTTCTGTGGTATGGAACCTATGGAAACAGATAAAAATGTAATAAATAATAAACTCACGGATTCAACTATAACAAACATTACAGACAAAAAGAAAAACCTACACCAAATGAATGTTGTATTTCACAAAACCTACTTATTGGGAGGTTATCCTGCAAAATTGTTAGGCATAGAATGATTGTGCCCTCCCTGCTCTTGGGCTCCCTTTTTTCTTTAACTCTGAAGCAACTATGTCAGTTAAGTTTTACATTAGGCATCAGGTAAAGAAATCTGACGATAGTGGCTTAATCAAATAGGCTTATTCTTGCCTAAATATTCCTTTGGGAAATAGGAACTCCACAATGAATACAGCAGCTTCACATCATGATTGCTCTTTATCCTCATTGTGTGTGTTATCAGCCTCATGGTTCAGAATGGTCACACTTTTTGAAGAATCAAGTGCACATTCTAGCAAGAGGAGAAAGGCAAAAAAAAAAAAAAAAGATCCATTAGAAGCTCTGTCAAAAAATGGGATTATGTCAGAGACTCTGGGGAAAAAATGATTTTTAAAAACTGGATGTAACGCTGCCCTCTAAAAAATTTGTATTGTGTGAATGAGGAAGGAGAGGTGTGTTGACAACAAGAATATACTTCACATTCTAACTGGAATTTTTAATTTGTTTTCTTTTCCCATAGCTAGCTCACCCTAAAAGCCCAACTCAAACTCTACAGCTTTCTCCAAGCAGCTTTGATGAACAAACTGATGTCAATTCTACCTGACTCCATGTGATAATCCATAAGACTCTAAAGAGATTACCCAAATCCTTTTTCTTGTGGTAGGGTAAACATAAATACATTCATATCATTCCATGAGAGGAGTTTGAGTATGTGTTCAACATACATACACTCTGATATCAAGTTTGTATTTGAATAGTTTCTAGTTTTGCATTATCAGTAAGAGAACCAGTGGGGGAGATGCTCTCTTCAAAGCAATTTTGGAATTACACGACTGAGGCTAGAGGGGCTGTTCAAATTAGGTAGATAACTTTAGTTCATGCTGTATGGGTGCAGTCATGACTTTAATATCCTGGTTCCTATTTATCCTGGATATTCTAGGGTAACTGAAAAAAATAAATATTTTAGTCTGTAAGGCTTATGCATTCATTTCTATACACTTGAAAAGATCCTCTGTGTTTTACTTATATAGTTGCTTTATAAACAATTAAAAGGTAAGACCACCTACCGTCCAAAAGGATTTGATGCAAAAGGCCCAATGTCACCTTCAAAATTAGAATGCGTTGGAAGTTGATGCCAAGGGTCTGATTGCCTGTTGCTTGCTAAGGGTGTAGCCTGTGTCATCAAAACAAGTTGGGTTTTATGCCTTTGGGTAAAGATTTACTACATCCATCCTTGGAGAAAAGAAAACAAAAGAAACGACTAGTTCAAAGTTCCAGTTCTTAATTTACACATGTAAAATGCTCAGGTTGCCAAAAAAGATAACCACGATATCCAGTCTTGCTCACACAGAGGTTCTTTGTGTAGGCTGCTCAGCAGCATTGCAGCTTCCTAGGAGAGGCCAGACTCACAGAAGGGTGTTGCTTTGGAAGAAAGCAACATTAATCACCCATGCAACTTCCCTAATCTGTGTTTCCTCCTAGGAAACCATACCCTAAGCTCAGTAATACTAGCCTATCAATCAACATAAAGCAATCATGTTTGATTTTATAGGGTGTACAATAATGATCTCCTATTTTGGTGTCAGTTTTCAATAAAATTGTGATTATGGATCAAAACAATTAAAGATTGTTACCAGCACCTTAGGTAGGTAGTTACATCCAGCTACTGAAGTTGAAGTTACTCCTCACTTTTACATCTGCTGTCTACATTCATGTAGCTAAAGAAAAATATCAAGAAGCCGTGACATGAGCCTTATATTCTGCACGATGCAGTGCCAAGGATTGTCTGAAGTCCATAGCAGATTCACTGTGGGACCACTCGTTCTCCTTCCTCACCAGTCCATGTATTCAATCATTACAGTAATGTGTACCTTGCTGGATTCCTTCCAGCCAGACTACGAGTGCCAGATGTAGCAAATCAGAATACAAAACGGTTAAGTGTGAACTTAAGAGAATCAATAAATAACACTTAAGTATAAATATGTCCATGTAACAATAATAAAAAAAACTTAATGCATGTCCCATATATTACATGGGACATATTTAAATAATTAATTATTCTTCACATTTAACTGGGCATTTGATATTTCACTGAGCAGCCTTATCAGTCTAGCAGTGGGCAATAACACTGGCCTCCACCGGGCTGCACATTGTGTATATTTGAAATATCCTGGAGGAGGGAGAAAGTCACTACAGTGAATGTGACTGCAAGTCCAGGACTCACTTTGACACAGTCCCTTCCTTTGCAGTCAGGGAACGGTAGGAAACAAAGGCATTCAGATCTTTACTGAACTTTCTGACAGGAAGCAGCTATATTAATGACATATACTTGAAATACCCTCAGGTTTGCATTTTGCCTAGAATTCTCCATGCAGATGCCAAATAGAGTGTTGTCAGAAAGCCATGAGGCTGGAAAGCACACCTGGGGACAGTGTTTAGCACTTCTGAGGCAGTCCTGTCTTTAAAACACCTAGTTATGTTTACAACACACTGATGGATGGAAAATTAATAGCCAAGGTGACAAATATCTGTTTCTAGTAAAGTTGCTTCTTTTTTGAAACCTGCAAGCTACACTTATGTGCAATGAAAGGAAATGGTCAGTGAAAATAAAGCAACTGAGCAAAACAGAGTACTATTTGTGATATATGTATAATGTTCAAAATATTAATAAACCATCATGCACTGTAAAAATGTAACTCAAATGGTTTGACCATTCTTGTGGAACAGGGGTTTGTAAGAAAAATGCTGTAGAATGCATGTAGAAAAACATTTCTAAAGCTGCTACTGCCCATATGCCAGTATTAAAATGTGTTTTCTGTATCTTTTTCTAATTTTTATGAGAGATTTTGTGTTGTAAACATTTGAGTACCCTGTGAATGCTGTGGCTTCATTCCACTATTGTGCATTATGTCTCCAATGTTTATTTGGGGTGTGAATGACAACCAGAGAATGTAAGCAACCAAGGTGCATCTGATTATATTTTAAAATAAATATTTTAAAAAGTTTGCATTTTCCTTTTAATATATTATTCAGATTATAACACAGGGCTGGTATTGTGGCATAGCAAGTTAAGCCATTGCCTGCAATGCAAGCATCGCATGTGGGTACCAGTTCATGTCCCAGTTGCTCCACTTTCCATCCAACTCTCTGCCAATGACCTGGAAAATCAGCAGGAGATGGCCCAAGTACTTGGCCTCCTCCCTACTAACCATGTGGGAGACACAGATGAAGTTCCTGACTGCTGGCTTTGGCCTGGTCCAGTGTTAGTATTTACAGCCATCTAGAGAATGCAACAGTTGATAGACGATTTCTGTCTCTCCATCTTTCTCAGTAACTCTTTCAAAGAATTAAACCCTTAAAAAAAAAAGCCAAAAAAAAAACCAAAACAAAACTATAACACACCTGAAAAAATGTGTAAAGTATAAACATTAAGAAATTATAAATTTATAAAGTAAAAATTTGTATAACTACCAAGAAACAAAAGCCAAAGCATCCTCAGTAACTTTGCCAATGTCCCTCCCCTTTCACAAGCCTATCCTAAGGAAAACAGTGACATTAGTGTTTCAATAAATGTTTTTTTGCTTTTATTCCCTAAGCATACACCCCTAAGTACTATAGTTTACTTTGCTTTAAAAAAAATTGTTTTGGGCCCGGCGCGGTGGCGCAAGTGGTTAAAGGTCCTCGCCTTGCACGCCCGGGATCCCATATGGGCGCCGGTTCTAATCCCGGCAGCCCCGCTTCCCTTCCAGCTCCCTGCCTGTGGCCTGGGAAAGCAGTCGAGGATGGCCCAAAAGCTTTGGGAACCTGCACCCGCGTGGGAGACCCGCAAGAGGCTCCTGGCTTCGGATCGGCATAGTATCGGCCCGTTGTGCTCACTTGGGGAGTGAATCATCGGACGGAAGATCTTCCTCTCTGTCTCTCCTCTCTGTATATCCGCCTTTCCAATTAAAAAAATAATAAAAATAAATCTTTAAAAAAAAATTTTTTTTTTTTCATTTTGTTAGACCTCCCATCCTTTGGTTCCCTCTGCAAATGCCTGCAGTAGCTGGGGCAGGCCAAATGCAGGAAACCAAGATACAGGAATTCAATTTGTGTCTCCAACATGGTAGTAAGGACCCAAGTACTATTGCCTCCCAGGGTAGAGACAGAAGCAGAGATGAGATTTGAATCAGACATTCCAATATAAGTTGCAAACATCCAAAAAAGTCTTAACTTCTGTGACAAAATCCTTGTCCCCATGTTGCTTGTTTTTGTACTCTATAACAAAGCTATGCTTCTATTTATTTGTTTCTAGTTTATTTCAATAAATACTTTTTAAAAATTACTCTTTTTAAAATTATAAGATTCCTTTATTTCTTCACAATATATATCATGTTTCAATAGTATAATTCTGTACTTATTTTTCTTTTTTTTTTTTACATTTTTTTAGTTTTGAATTTTATGGTACAATTTCATAGAGTCTGCGATTTCCCTACTCCCTAAATTTCCACTCCCCAAACTGAGTTTTCCATATTTTCCATAGGACAATAGTGTAGTCCTAAGTGCAGTCATATGTCTATCAGTCTATTATCTAAGTGTGCCCCAATGTTGCTGGTAAAGACATTGTCAGACAGTCCAGCATCCTATTGTCTAGATATGTTCAAAAAAATTTCATTGGGAGTCCAACTTTGATTTGGAAGTAGGGATGCATACTGCAATTTATCTTCACATCTGCATATGATAGTCTCTATTATGCCATCACTGTACATTCCCTTAAATGAGAACCTATGAAACAAAGTCAACAAGAGGTATGGAGTTAAAAAATTTATAACACCATGGAGTCGAAAAATGCACCACTGAATAACCAATGCATGGGTGAAGAAAGAAAACATAAAGGCCTCTTGGATAAAATTATGTCACTGTGGGATTCATGAGCTAGTGATGAATTCAATAAGAGAAAAGAAATGATTTGGAAGAAATGAAAATAGAAATAAAAATATCAAAACACAAGGGATGCAGCAAAAACAGTATGGAAAGGGTTATTAATCTTACAATTTGCATGAAGGCTGCCTTATATCAGAGACAACATATGATATTTGCCCTTTGGGATTGACTTATTTCACTGAGCATAACAGTCTCTGGTTAGGGCCACCTAGTTGCAAATGGTAGGATTTCATTCTTTTCAATGGCTGAATAATATTCCATGGAGTAGATGTAACATAATTTCTTTATACAATTACTCTCTCCATGTACTCTGTAGTGGGTACAAATGCTTTTGGTGTGTGAAAATAGCTAATGATTCATTCTGTTGTACAAGAGTCACTCTAGTGTGTATGAAAGATCTTCAATAGTTCTTGAAGAGCGTGCACTTTAAATTTCATTTCTGTAAGATTTTTGAAGCTCAGGGCCCGGCGGCATGGCCTAGCAGATAAAGTCCTCGCCTTGAATGCCCCGGGATCCCATATGGGCGCTGGTTCTAATCCTATTGGCCCCACTTCCCATCCAGCTCCCTGCTTGTGGCCTGGGAAAGCAGTCAAGGACGGCCCAAAGCTTTGGGACTTGCACCCATGTGGGAGACCCAGAAGAGGTTCCTGGTTCCCAGCTTCAGATTGGCACAGTACCAGCTGTTGCGCTCACTTGGGGA